TCATATTCGAAGCAGACCGCCACCATGGACGACATGGGTTGCGCCACAGAGAAACGAATGAAAATTATGTTGGACCAGCATCATCACTGAAGACGAGCCATCCAAGTATCCAAGAATGATTCCTGATTTCCCGGATAACCACTAATGGAAATTTAAGCAGAACTATTGGTCCACCCAAATAAAGAATATTCGTTACAATGAGCGAATAGCGCCACAATTCGTATCCTCTTAATACTCTTTCAACCTCATTGACTAGGACGTGTGGTGTTCAACTCCCATCGAGATACTGATAGCAATTTGGCTATTCGAGCACATGCAAACGCGACGTAGTCAGTTTGGCTACAATTACTCACGGGTTCAGATCTAATTTTTCAGGTACTAAACTTCGTAATTCTTCATTGACATGAGAAAATGTGGTACTGACTGACTAGATAGGTAGAATTTCTTTTTTACTACCGAAGGAATGTGGAATGTACGTCGACAGAGAAAAACGAGCCATAGAAGATCTCCTTGACTGCCTTCTTAACGGAACGAAGTGATCATTCTACAAGAAGGGTAAAGAAGAGCCACTGGTGTCTAAAAACTAGTGGAGTTACCACTGATGTTACGCACGCAATTCTCGGTGTTTTAAGACACCGCATTTCTACTGCTTTCCGGCTCTGAGATGTTCTCCGTCTACTGTTTGCTAAACACTACAAAGTCAATCGCTAGCTGATGGCTATTAGTGAAGTAAATGAGTCTCCACTATGTATTAGAACAAGATTTGCACATAAATACTTGTTCATAGAGGTTGCCTGAGGTACTAATCGGTTCAAGGCCTATGGTGCTTTGGCAATCGATTGTGGTTGAGCAACGGATGAACTCTACATTAAGGTCTTGTGTAGGAGGACTAGACTGCCTTGATGGTGCTAATAGTCATTATAAATCCCGAGCTAGTTCCTGCAAGTCCTACAGAAGGTTTATCAAATTACTTTTCTGGAAGGTATTGGCGGTGAAGTCGAAAATGTTTGCTCCAAAGCTAACAGCTCCTATGTTGAAGCTAACAATAAAAGAAAACAGTTGTACAGCGAACAGCGAACTTACGAAGAATTCCTTCCAAACAGAAAAAAACTAAGAATTTCAGCAAGCTGTCATACACCTTTTTTTCCTGAAAACGGCTTTCAAAAAACTGACAAACCTCACACTATCGGATTTCACTTCTGAAAGCGATGAACCAGAAGACGTCGGAGTGTCCGATCTGCTTCCTGTACTCGTCGAAGAACTAGAAGTTACTGGAGTATTCGGTAATATTTTAAAGCTTATGAATGGCGATGGAAGAAAATACCGGTGAACAAGCACGGCTGACTTCGTCTTCGTTTTCGACTCCTTTTTCCGGATACTACCGGCTTCTGATGTGAATCTGCTGTTGTGCATGCCGAGTTCCTCAAAAATCTCTCCTCTTAGGTGTTCGAGGTTGTCCTAAATGTTAATTTGAAATGGAAACTGTTGAGTAGGTGATCATTGAATGTAAATTTACTGCATGTTCTTGAAAAACAAATTTCAAGACACCTCCTTTTTTTAATATATGCCGATTCTGCTTTAAAACAAGTAAATAAACAGCATATAGTGCAACAGTAGAGATGTTGTTCAGTTGTTCGCCCAAGAGCCTGGTTCGACCCAATCCCGGGGCGTTTAAGCCACCCAGCCATCCACTGGTGGCGAGATTGGTAAAATATTCGCATGGGATGAGCTCGCTCACTTCAATACAAAAATTTTCCAGTTGAAATCACAATGCTGGAGTTGCATGCTATCAGCGACTTATGTCGAAAACTGTAAAGCTCTACAGAAAAACGGTAAACAAAGGTCAGAAGTGGAGAAGAGCAGCAATGGTGGCTAAAGGAATAGAAATTGGAAAAAGCACCAGCAATGCCCAAATAGACTTCCCCAATCACAATCGAAATCACTGTGATTTAGGACCTAGAAAAAATATTCAGTTAATTCAGAAAGAAGATGGAGAAGACCATTCACAATTTTTCTCCGATTTACTCGACAAACTACACCTAGTGGCCTATATATCCAACTGGGAGTTCCATCTTCAATCTCCGTCTCGAAATAAGATAATATTCTCAACTGCTACTGATTATACGACCAAACTAGGCAGATAATATGCTGAGAACGATTCAACGCAAGAAGACAAGTGGAGAATGATTAGAAATATGGGTTACCGGGATATAGGGTGAAGCTGCGAGCTAAATTCTTCTTAGTGTAGATCCCAATATGTACGATGTCGCTTTGAGAAAAAAACCGTTTTAAGAAAAAATAAAGCGAAGAAAATCAGACCAACTTACCCAAGAGATCTGCCCACACCACTTTTCCATCTCACTTTCAACCACTTCGATAATCACTCTGAAATTTAGCTTTTTCCTCAGAAAAGTATCCTTGGATAAGCGTGTACCATATTAAAGCTTCAAAAATTTTCAGAAATACCATTTTCGTTTTAAGTTTTACAATGCAATGAACTGCAATGAGTCCATATAAATTGCCCTTCCAAAGCTACGTGGATTCATCAAGTGGTATTGCAGGGCGAATTAAAGCTTGAGCAGAAACATACACCTGCATCTGGGATCAGCCAGGAATATTGTTTGTTTTTCAGTGTTTAATAAACGCATATTAATAATGAACCGTGGGAACATAAGATACAAGCACAATGATGCTGAGATTTTTGCAAAAAGGATATTAAGATATTCGCACTGACGGGTAATTGCTGGTGGCATCTTTAGGCTAAAAAACTGTATGAAATAAAGAAAAAGAAAGAGTCTCAGTGGTGCAGTGGGTAAGCCATGAAACCCCAAAGAAGGTAGTTGCGGGTTCGAGTCTGGCCTTGAGTACAAGTTTTGCAGTAAAAGAATAGTGGGACGTAATGATAATAATGGGAATAGGGTTTTGCAGTAACAGAATAATGGGAATATGGAGTAGATAGAAGGTTTACTCTAACAGCGACTCTGCAGCCTATAGGTGTACAGTTTCTAGAGTGTTCGAGCCTCTTCTCGAATCTAACCTTCTACTCTCATACCAAATCGTTCCGAAAAAGAAAACTTGTCTTTGGGTTATAAATTTACGTAACGTCTCTTTCAGCCTACCCATCGGTGAAAACCTCTCGATCGATGACAGCGGAATAGACGGCATCTTTGAAAAGATCGAAGTAAAAATTATCTCTCCGATTTCGTTTGCTTGTTCCACTCTTTCTTGTCTCCACAGTCCAATGATTGTATTCAGAAGGTGGTGCAGGTGGTTTCGGTTTCTTAAATTCTATTGCAGACGTTCCTTATCGATAATAATAAAAGAAAAATATGCATAATAAATAAATGAAGAAAAGCTAAATGATGGTAATCGATAATTCGACATCAGAAAACATTTGGCACTTTAAACCCATTCAAATCTATTCTGCCTAACCAATGGCAATCGTAGATAATAACATACTGGACAGTGTTAGGAGGCATGACTCTCCCTGACAGTGCGCGCTCGATCGTTATTAGAATTGCGAGCGAGTTTCTCACCATCTGAGCGCATTTCTAAGGTAACCTTGCGTAGGGTCGCATGTAGTTTACATAAACTTCAAGATAGACTCCGCAAAAAAGCTAGAGATGGAACGCAAAATAGGTGCGAACAACACCAAGTGGGGGCCTACCAAATAGCACCATTTTCTCAGCCGTTCTTTAGACAACAAGAGCCTATACAGCTCAAACCTCACTGGAGTGCAAAAACGCAGTACGCGAGAGGTACGAGAGCTGATAAGGTTGAAAAACATAGGACTATCCATTAGTGATAAGAGTGGAGAGTTTGTCGTAATTCCCCATCAGTTAGATATGGAGATAACGGAAAAGCATCTTGAGGATGCTTCACTTTATCGCCCATCATCTGAGGAGGAATTCAAAAGTAAATACCGAAAACTAAACCACGAATGGGCCAAAATGGCAAGGGCTGCTGGTTTAAAACCATCAGTTATCTCTCAACTTAAAGTTGACTTACCAACGTGCCCCGTCTTGTGCTTACTTATAAAAACTCATAAGTTAGTATCCAGCGATGATCTTGTGTCTACCGGCACATCGTTATTTAAGGTCAAACCAATCATTAGCTGTGAAGACGGGCCAACGGATAGGATAACATGGTTTTTAACCCTAATATTTAACCAGTTGTTGAAACACATTCCAGCCCATCTTACGAATGCCCAAATGTTTCTGGATCGTTTACGTACTGCGCAGCCCAACAGCGCGTGCGTGATGGAGTCTTTCGATGTTACCGCCCTTTATTACAAAGGTGTCGAATGACTCCGCAATGCAAGCCATATTCAAACTCCTTATACAATACGAAGGAGAAACAAGCATATATGGCTTCAAGATAGAGCAGTTGACAGCACTTTTAAAAGAATGCTTGGGCTGCTCAATCTTCAGATGGTTCGGAACCTACTACGCTCAGATAAGGGGGTTGGCAATGGGACAACGACTGGCAACATGTCATGCCATTGCGTTTATATCTAAGGCAGATGCACGAGTAACCAATTTCGGGCCGTTACTCTACTGTAAATATATATATGGCTGTTTTGTCCTTCGTTCAACACAAGGGGAAATGGACAAATATTTCGAATTGTTTAACGAACAGTCAGAGTATATCAAGTTCAACCGAGAAAAACTGAAAGAAAACAGGCTTCCATTCCTGAACGTCCAAATTAACTTGCCAAAAAATGGCTACATTATGAAGTGGTACCGAAAGACAAGTACTAAAAACATCTTGGGTCATTCCTGTCCTCTCACGCCTCTCACACGAAAAGGACGCATGTAAGAAACATGTTTCGAACAGCAACCAACGCGTGCCCGGAAGAGAGCAGAGAGAGGCTCGGAACTTGGCACGGCAAATAACCATTTCTAATGGCTACGAAACTGTAGCTCAGGATAGGTGTAGAGGAAATTCTAGGCCCCCAAACGACAACTCTAGCGATAAAAAGGTCCCGTTTATCCTACCCATCATCTCAAATGAAGTAAGTGCAGATATAAAACGCTCTTTAAGAAAAGCGGATGTAGAGAATTCGGTAACGATAATTGAAATGCCACCGAGTAATCTAAGATGCCAGCTAGTTTGTAACCGCTCATACGATCGTCTATGTGCAACGCAGAATTGCATAATTTGTCCCAATGGTAGATACGGTGATTGAATGAGTTTGGGTACAGTCTATCTAATTCTCATGTAAAGTGTGCTGGGAAAAATACGTTGGCGAAACGGGTAGACTATACTGCATGCGTATAAATGAACAGCTAGTCGGCAAACGTAAACCAAATACTCCATTAGGCACGCATAGCACGCAGAGACATAACGGAGAAGATTTTGAAGTAAGGGTTACGATCCTCGCGCGTGAATCAAGAACACAAGTGCGCAAAACTCTAGAGGCCTTCTGCATTAATTCCAAGAATCCGAAAATGAACCGCAGGGAGGAATGCCTCATTCACACGTGATATTAAACAGTATATAAACCTGTTATTCTGATGGGAGAAGCACATTACGCTTCCATGTGAATTTTGTGCGGTTGGTCTAAGCGGGAAAAATAGTTTGGTAACCAAATGACCAAACAAAGAAAGAAATTCCAAATGAATGATCTGGAAGCTCTGCTCCAAACCTGTCGATTCCTATGCAGCGGTGGTTGGTAGTTTCTGGATTGAAGGATTTTCGGTTTCACGTCGATTCCTTTCAAGGGCAAAGGCAGTCGCAGTGACGGTGAATTTGCTTCGCCGATGAACTCAACCAGCTCACGATGAGGTCGTGGTAGCTGAAGCAATTCTTTGGTCTATACTCCCAGCTGAGATTAATGGACGATTGCCAATTGCATCTGATCCATTTTGCGATATATTGAAATTTGAACAACTTAATTAAGGTATGAATAGTATATGAAGAAAAAAACGTTGAAGATTTCGTTAGTTTAGTCCAGTCCAACCTTTGGCTGTCGCCGCTTAATTGCATCTGCTGACGAAGCGCGTTTGGGAACATAGTGAACACCTGTAATGGCTCAAAAAGCAAATGATACTATGCATTCGATTCAAGTTGTGTTTAAAAACGCTATTTATATGAGTCGCAGTGAAAATACCTGGGTCCTGAATTTGTATAGAGTTCAAAGAAAAGAGCTATATTAAAAATCTTGGCCTACCAAAATAAGTACCAACACTAGATCCCCTTATGTTCATGTAGCCCGCCGTTTTACGGGATCTACTACCAGAAGGACTCCTACTACTGGAGGAGAAAACACTATAGGAAGCGGATTACATTCAAAGTATCACAAAATTCCATCACGATTTCATAGTGAGATCACGCCTTTTACCCCTGTAAGGTTTACAATATTTATGTGATGATGCTTAATGCGTGTCAATGCGGTACAGAACCTATCAGTGCTGAGAATTTTACTTCTTTTTGCATTTCAGCCATGTTTCGGCCTGTAGATAACAACTTGCTATAAAATCTTTCAGCGCAAAAATAAAGTGATCCCAAAACTATCTGTTTATTTTCGACGTTTTTTGAATAAAAAACAAATCTTGTAGTAACTCCCAAGTCCGACTTTCTATTAACCTCGGCAAGCCAAGTAGTAAAAACATCCTAGTTCATTACCTCTCCTCTCATCCCTCTCACACGAAAAGGGCGCTTGTGAGAAACATGTATCGAACAGCTACCAGCGTGTGCACAGGAAGACAACAGAGAGAGGAGTCCCGGAACTTGGCGCGGCAAATAGCCATTTTTAATGGCTACGAAACCATAGCTCGAGATAGGTGTAGAGGAAACCACAGGTACCCCAACGATAACTCTAGCGACAACAAGGTCCCGTTTATACTGCCCTTCATTTCAAATGAAGTAAGTGCAGCTATAAAACGCTGTTTAAGAAGGGCCAGTCTAGAGAATTCGGTAACGATAATCGAAACACCACCAAGTAATCTAAGGCACCAGCTAGTTCGTAACCGCCTATACGACCGTCTATGTGCAACGCAAAATTGCATAATTTGGCCCAATGGTAGAGACGGTGACTGCATGAGTTCGGGTACAGTCTATCTGATCTCTTGTAAAGCGTGCGGGGACGAATACATTGGCGAAACGGGTAGACCACTCTGAGTACGTATAAAAGAACACCTAGACGGCAAACGTAAGCCAAGTACTCCACTAAGTGCGCATAGGACGCAGAAACATAACGGAGAAGATTTTGAAGTAAGGGTTACGATCCTCGCGCAAGAATCGAGAACACAAGCGCGCAAAACTCTAGAGGCATTCTGGATAAATTCCAAGAATCCGAAAATGAACCGCAGAGTGGAATGCCTCGTTATCACGCGTGATATTGGACAGTATATAAGACTGTTATTCTAATGGGAGAGGCACATTACGCTTCCGTATGAATTCTGTGCGGTCGGTCTTCACGCGACATACTCAGTGGAAGACTCATAGAAAGCGGTGAGTGTGCAGAGCTATGTTAAATGTGATTGAAATCTTGGTTTAGCGTCTTCCCTGTTTGGTTATGGAGGTGTTTGGCCGAATAGATTGCTGTCAACTTGACCTTTCCAGGCTCTGAGGAAGGCGTAATCCGCCGAAACGTCAGCTTGTGCGTAAATAAAGAAATAAAATAGCACCTCGTGTTTGCTGAACAGAAGTAGAAAGATATAAAAAACAAATCATTTTCCTTACTTATCGGACTGTTGTACATGGAGAACGGTGGACTGGTGTCAACGATACCCTTGATTCCCTGAGCGAGTTTGTAGTGGTGGCTCATAATCGTCTCAGGAGCAACGCTCCAGCTTGAACTCGACGGTCGCAAAACCATCCTTTTCTAAACGTGCCAAACCTATACGGAGACAATATTTTATCCTAAAAAGCAAAATCGAAAGCCTTTGTATAAATCACAACGGAAATGCAGAAGTGACAAAAAGTTTGCAGCCAATCAAATTCCATACGTAAACAATTTTTATGTAATCGGAAATCGCGTGTGCGTGTACCGTAGTGGTCGGAGGCGTCTTGCAATACGCATGGGATCGACCCCGAGCCCCGGGCTCACCAAGCTTTTCATCCATCCGTGGTCAGCAACTTGGTACCAGAATTGTCTGGAAGGATAGCATCACTGGTTTGATACATCGGTAGGTAGTAGTGAGTAATTGTAAAGGTCAGATATGCATTCAATCACCTCGAAGCGATGCTTAATGAAGTCGAATGCATGGCGCATTCCTAAGGGATTGATCAACGCCGAGAGTTTTATCCTTTAGATTTATGACTATCCGTTGCTAACAATTTGTTTCTTGTCGGATTATCCACCCTGCAGCAGTCGGTGTTGTGTTAGCTAGGACACAGCGACTCATTGTAAAGACCAGATATGCATCCAATCACCTCCAAGCCATGTTTAAAGAAGAATACATGGTGTATCCTTTAAAGATTGATCAATTCAGATCAATAATGTCGAGAGCTTTACCTTTTATTTTATACCTTATCCTTTAAGCGGACATCGCATATTGTGCGGATCCCAGCATTTCATGTATTCGGCTCGTTTCCACGCACTCATCATCCATGAAAGTCACAAGATTTGCTTGTGGCATCGCACGCGGCTTGAGAATGCTTGGTGTTTTTCGAATGTTCTTGTGTGCTGGTCAGCCAAGTCGATTTCCCTGAATCACGGAATAGCCGTACTGCTGCGTTACTACATCTTCAGCACAAGCGGATGGCAGTCTGTGAATTGCAAATATCGAAATGATTCCAAACGTGGCCGCTGGTTGATTCCCGTATCCTGGACAATACAAGCTCTCAGTCTCTGTGGGGTCTGCAAATGATACCAGACTTGTATAGAAACACAAAAATGCCGGCTTCATGCATCGGTTCGGCCCTATAAGTCATTATGAAGCCGAAATAAATCATTAGCATCTACGCTCAATGGAGTAATATTAATACGACATAGCCCGAAGGAATTGATCAACACCGGATGCTTTACGCTGCTCACTTTAAGACAAACCGACGTCAGGAAAACTGTAAAAAATATTTTACGATGACCTTGCGCCAATAACCAGGAATTTAATAAAACAGTAAGCAATTCCGACTATACTTACTTGGATACTTAGACAGCCTATCCTCACTGGTTCTGCGGGTCCCAGCATATTTTCCATTTACCGGAGTTTTGCTGGTTTAGCCACTGTGGTTCCGCGGAGTCCCGAGGTCAGCCTGGTCAAAATCTGCCCCAAGACGTCACCAAGACAGTTGGTCGCAGCCCTTGTGGATCAGAGCGAGATTTCCCACCATGCGACTAGTTTGGTACCAGGACGGTAGTGGATTCTGATATTGGTTTATCTTAGCTGGGTTTTCTGATGGAAACGTCGTACTCCTTCTCAACACAAGAAACCTTGCGGATGATCAATCCTCTCGTTGCACGTCGCAGCCCGACACAAACACCTCCCAGCCGCGATGAGACAGTAAGCCGTTGAGAAATCATGCCGAGTCTAATAAAACGATTTTTCTAAGAAGCACTCAGGAGCACAGCAATGCATAGCTGCCCAAGAGCTTGAAAATTTTTTAATGCAGCCACTGCAAAGGAAATTTTAGAAAGTATTTACACTGGAATTCCCATTATTCCAACATCATCGCTGCTGGTAAACCACTGAATATTCTAAGCACGAAAACTCTCAAATGTTGTACTCGTGCAACAATTGGTTATTTTGTCCGCTTGACTTCCACTGATTGAACAAGGCTTTTTTAGTCTTCAGAGTCACGAGGCAGTTGCATTGGTGTTATTGCAGGTTGTTATCACGGTTTTTACCAGATCAGCCGATGATTTGTCGCCTTGATAGCAGCCTCCATCACGAGAGCTGCGACGGTAACACATTTACTTTTAGAATGGATTCTGCGTGCCGAGGTCAAATTCGAGCAGCATAGTTCTCCATAGAATTATGAAACACCAGCTGTACACCCTCCCAGCCGTTTACCGCCTCATCGTGGCTAGGAGGTATTCCTAGGTGTCGAGCCGCGATGTACATCGGAGGAATTCATTTTCCTGGCAGGGTCTCCCAAGATGAGAAGGAGCCTGACCTTTCTATCAGGAATCTTAGCTAAGAATAAACCAATACCAGGATCCACCACCATCCGGGTATCAAAGTCGAATGGTGGCAAATCCCCCTCTGATCCACAAAGGATGACTGCCTTGTTGGTGAAGACGTGGGGCAGACCAGGCTGACCTCGGGATTCCAAGGAACCACAATGGCTTAACCAGCAAATCTCTGAAGAATGGAGATGGTGCTGGGGACCGCACAACCAGTGAGCACGGGCCATTCAAGTAAGTATCAACTAAACTGTACACCATAGACCAACACTCAAAGAGACATCCTGGTGAGGCAACGCACCTTTCGAGTCGAGTTCCCTTCTACAGCAAGAAACGTAGCCTTAAACTGTCGTTTTTAGTTACGACGAATACTGTTATTCATTCAAAAAACCCTTCTAATCCATGTCACAAAATTTTCTTTCCGTCACCATATGGTTAGCTCGGTATGTTTGTCATCTATAGAAAACAAGGTAAGAAGAAACTTAACAAATCTCAGAAAAATATATTGCTCGAATTATTTTAGCTTTTATTATATAAATAACGACACAAGCAGATAGTCGAAACAGAGGCTTACAATGTCTTACATCTTCCTTGAGCCGAGTAGTTGGGATTACTACGTAAGCTTCGCGTACGTCGGCGCGAAGCGGGAAAAAAATATTAATACCCTTGATTAGAATTTAATACAAAACTAGCATTTTGAATGCAAAGCAGGATAACAACAGGTGAAACGACTATAGTAAAGGGATCTTAATGGGAAACACTGATCGGCTGAGTCAGCTTGAAGTAACGGCGTGGTACAGCACTCCATGGCAACGGAAATGGGAATGGGAAATATCGCGGCCCCATAAGAGCGAACGAAATGGGAGCAACGCCTCTTTGCATGGCTTCTGGGATAAAATAAGAGTAATAAGCCAGCGTGAATATAATTCTAGCTATCAAAGTCTTCTTCTATAACGTCATTGTCCAGGAAATACTAAGGAATCTGAATACTTCTGAGATAACCGAATGTTCTTAAGAAGAAAGGGCATTCTAACGCATGGAGATCGTTTACGCCTTTCTGTACATTTGTTTTCAACCTATATCCCACTAATATTCGCAGTGGCAAACTCTTGCTGAGAACAAACAGACTATCAAGCACCACTGTTAGAACCGCCGGCCTCATCTGTATTAGTAAATACATACTTTTTTACGTACAAATATGGTAATCAGTGAAATTCTGATGGCGATTCGAGAAGTAGTGGAAAAAGCTGATGAATTATAACTCGTGTGAAATGCTGAGATACTTGCACAACTCCGGACCACAGGTGTATGCAGTAGGGAACGAACACGCGCTGTTGTCCTTACCTGTGGTCCGGAGCTTTGAAAATATCTCAGCATTTCATACGAGTTATAATTCGAAACATACCCTGCCATTAAGAAGAAAAAGGCAGTAAATAAAAGAGTTAAAGCCGATGAAGTCAGCTCTTCTTTTTTCCTAATATGTCACCTGCACCGCAGTTCTCTGTGAATGGTCGAACCGTTCGAGCAGGTGACGCCACTAAATTCTGCATTCGTCGCCGTAGCGTATCGGTGTTGTCCAATGAGTTCTAATAGTCCAGCAGACGCAAAAGTTGCAACACTTTCTTATAGTACTTTCGAAGAAATGTGAGCGCTGTGTTGGATCGTTTCCTGTTTTGCGCACTACATCGCATCTAACCCCATCTAAACATATGCATATATATATATATATATATATATATATATATATAACACCCAGGAATATATTAATTAATGGAAATGCATGACGTATACTTACACTAGTGGTGAATTTTTGTTGGGAAAACCAATAGCACAGTGCTGAGCAAAATCATTCTGCACTCCAAGTTTCGGGACTACCCGCTGCTGTTTAAGTGTTTGGAAGGCCTAATGCATTTGTAAGAAAAGAATTTACATTGTTCCCAATTGTTTACAAGTTGTCATTGTAAAGGCCAGATATGCATTCAGTTACCTCCAACGATGCTTAATGAACTCGAATGCATGGTGCATCACTCAGGCATTGATCAACGTCGAGAACTTATCCTTTATACTTTTATTACACTTACTCGTGTTAATGAAATAATCTTTGAAAATAGCAGTTATCATTCGTACAATATCCATTTCATTGTTTGAGCATTAAGACAAAGTAAGATGTCCTTAGAGCCAAATTTGTTTCAAAAGGACTGCGGCATTACCTCCAGGGCAAATTTTCAGGCGTTACCTGTTACACAGTGTGGGTTGCAAGAATGAGACTGAACAGTAGAGAACAGTGCTGAAGTTAGTACGAAATCAAACTTGGCCCATTTTACAATACAGTCCTGCCGTGAAGTAGCATTACCTCAAACATTGATTGGTTCCGATGTTATAAAAATGAAAGGGAGAATCGGTACCTGAATGAACAGAATCGCAGTGAGGCTTCGATCGACGTTTACATAGAAGAAGATTATAGTTTCTGTGCGAATGACTAAATAATACGCTTGCGGGTTTCCAAGGTTCACAATGTCATAAAAATTTATTGGTTCTAACGGCAATTGCACCACATTGTTCTCGCGAGGCTATTAAACTCTTCGTAACAATATGGGCTACACATGGTTAGTATGTGGTTGGATAGCCCAAACAAAAAGAATCATCTGACTACATCTTTTACGATAACTCCCTTCGTCGTAAAGTTACCAATTGGGTAG